TTTTTTTTAAATTTAAGGAACATTTTCTAACAGTATTTGAGCAAAGATCTTTGGAGGGAAAATATATTGCTTAATCCCTTTTTGTACACAAACATACACTATCTCATAATCTCAGATTTTTGTTTAGGTCTTTGGCCCACTTTTATTCTTATATTTATTTGCTTAAAATGGAGTGTCTTGCAATAGAATCATACCTAGCTTAAACTCATAAATTTACAACACAGAGAAAAAACATTTGAGCAGGGCAGATGAGTCTATCACTACTATGCACGGTGTGAATGAGTGTGAATTGGTACACAAATGTGCTCTTTCCACTGATAGAAAGACTCACTGTCTGCACTTCTCCTGGGGAATGAACACCTTTTCATCCTAATGAGATTCAAAATATCATTTTGACTATTCCCAATTTTCATCTTACTGAATCTACAGAATCTAAGTCCCTCACCATGGGCGTCCCTTTGAAAACTTTCCTGTTGTAGTTAATACTATCAACATTTTCATTATTACTAACCATTTGCTGCAATATCCAATATTTACAACTTCTTCAGATTCAGGGGCAACATCATTCTTTACTTGTTTCCCACCCCATTTAAATGAGCAGAACAGTTTATTTGGTTAAAATATTGGGGTTCTGGGGACAGAGAGAATGGAATCCCAGCTCCTCCTTACACTAAACTTGCAGAATTGAATTCAACTCTCCTGGCTTCATTTACCTGCAAGTGGGAATAACAACAACTATGAAATCTCGTGAGCATAAAAGTACAGTGTCTTAGCTGTAACTATTTTTGTTACTGTTACTGTGTCTTAGCTATAAGACAGAGTCTTAGCTATGATAAGACAAAATAAGACTCTTATTTTGTTACTGAATTTTAAAGTACGCTAAAAAACTTTTAAGAAATGTGTCACCTTTATCTGAAAAAGGACCAGATCAGATAGGATTACCCAACACAAACCCAGTACATGTGAAAAGAAATCACTTCAGGTGAAATCTCTTATGACAACGCATAGCGAATCTTCATGTCCCAAGGAAAACACTTATTTATATCCACTTTCTTTTCATGTCACTTCATGACACTTCATTTTCAAAAAAGCACATGAGAACATTTCTATTATTTTGAAGACAATCTGTGCAGTTACCAGCCAATTCAAGAGGTAAATGAAGGCATTTTGTGGGAAATAAGAAAAAAGAATTACTGAAATGTTTGCCTTGCCCCAAAAGTCAACCTAGAATAGTGATGAACCTGCAAAGAAATTAATTTTTACCACTGTAAACACATATGAATGCAACCAATAGAGCAGGTGGTTACCATTATGATTCATACTGAACACGACGCTTTCATCTTCAAAAATAATACAGGGACCAAACTTCCTGAACAAAGGCCATGTCACGGCACATCTAACTAATTACATCAATGTATGCTGGAAATTTAAAGCAGATAAGCAACCTGGATATTTTTGCTGGATGAAAAGAGAAATTTACAAAGTTTAGGGGTCATAAAACCACTAAAAT